GGGGGGGGGGTTGATGCGAGATGGGGGAAGGTAAGTCGTCAAGAAGAAGTGGTACGGGTTGTACAGTAAGGCAATGATGACGAAATAGGGCACAACAAATTGAACGAAAAAAAGTCCGTGCAAGAACATCCACATGAAGCGAGATGTAGATACGGAGAAGGGGGACAAGGTAGATCGAACAAAAACAGTCCACCCGTTTCGTGAGGTAAGAAGAGTATAGTAGTCGGAGCAAAAGGAGGGGCATTCGATAAAGGACGAAGGAAGGAACGGAGTCAGAGTAGGGAGGTGATAACGAAATGGAGAAGGGGCACGAGAATAGCAGGAGGGTGTGGATGAAAAGCAAAGACGACTCGAACAAGTGAAAGGTGGCCGGAGTGCACTTTGGGATGAGAGAAGAGTACGAAAGTTAAGGTGCGATTGATAGAAGGAAAGAAATATACAAATATGAGAGTCAAAACGATAATACGAATGAAGAAAAGCGAACGGTGATCATAATGCAATGCGGAAGAGACTGAGAATAGCATGATAAGTAGTGTGCATAGAATGCAAAGACGACCCGGCGAAGGATCGCCAGGACGACATCCGATGAAGAGGGACGTAGGTCGAGCGAAAGGACAAGCGGTTTGGGAAGGAAGAAGGGTACGTAAGTTGGAGCGAAAACTGGGAGGTGCAGTCCACACAAACCATGAAAGAAAGCAAGACTCGGATAGAAGGGTAGTGAGAATAATACGAAGGAAGGAAACCGGACGGTGACGATGACGTAATGAGAGAAAGACGACAAAAATGGGAGGACAGAACGAAAGCGAAGACGACTCGGTCAAGAATCACCAGGACGATTCGAACGCGCAAACGGGAGAAAGACTACATGCGAGCACGCGAAAAGAGTAGGACGGATGGAACGCACGAAGAATCGGTAGGGAGGAAGGGCGAACGCGCGATCTGATTGGACAGAGGTAGGATGCGAACGGTAGGAATAGGGGCTAAGAGGAAAGAAAGACGAAAGGGCGAGCGAAGGGAGTAAAGAATTGTCCAAAGAACAAGATCGACATGGAGGGATGATCAAAGAGAGCAAAAGACGTACCGAGCGAATGTTTCGAGGTGATGAGCAGTTTGTCAGGCGTGAGTGCGCCGATGAAGATGATGCAACCGTTCGATTTGAGCGTGAGCGTGTACGGCGGCGTCGTATGTTCCTCAAGGGCCGCCCACTGTCAAACGAGTTCAGACAGGGGAAAGGGTAAACGACGGGAGAAAGTACGCACGGTAGTCCACGGAACCTCCCCGATGTTGAAAAACTTATCATACCCCCTCGCCACGATCCTATACTCCCTCTCCCTACCACTCTCACCCTCCTTCGCATCGCCCCTCCCATCCGTCACATCAACCGTAAACAAGCCCCTCGCCAACGTCGGGAACGGACTCGGGATATCATAATACTTGAACTCGTTCATCTTCCAACTCTCGACGATGATGCTCGCATCCTCCGGCGCCTCGTATTTCGAGGACCGGACCAGTTTCGGGGATTTCTTGTGCAGGCGGTGCAGAGCGCTGATGAGCTCTGAGTCGGAGGGGCTGTATTTTGGGGGGAGGGAGGCCATGGTCCTGATGCTGATGCTGCTTTTTGTACTGGGTATACGGTGAGTGGTGGTTGTAATCGAAATGAAGTGCCGTAGGCTGTGTAAAAATATGCTGCTATGGACAGTACGATGGTGGGCGAAGATGAGTGGGGAGAAGCGACGGCAGCATAGGCCTGACGTTTTGAGGGCTGGCGGAGACGACGGTGGGAGTCGGATCGTGACTCTGAGAAAGAATGACTCGGTGAGCCGTCGCGTCGAGCCCGAGTCATAAAAGCTACTACGTACAACTCGATGTTGAGGGCGTAGGTGCACCTTCACAGCCTTCCCAGACGATGCGAGCAGACTTCGGTGCCCGAAGTGAGTCGGGTGTCGTCGCGTCGCGTCGAGAGCTAGAATATTATCGAGGTCAATGGGATGGACATAACAAGACTGAAAGTTAAACTGCAGGACGAAACCTATTAAATAACGCGAGACTCAGATGTCCTAATCCTGGTCCAAGTTCGATAACTAGAGTTGAGAGTGAAAGAAATGGGAGACGGTAAACAACGTCAATAAACGAGCGCCCATTTTGATGAACTTGCTGACGTCATCCCCCTGACGAGTCGCTCATCTGGGCCACACGCCACGTCAACGCTCCTTGCGATCGTTTTCTTCTTCTCGCTCGATCTTTCCTGCCGCCATCCTTATCAGCTTTCTCTATCGACGTGAAGGGTCTGAGTATTCCAGCTCTGTATAGATGAACACGGATTGCTTTGTTGCGACATGCATGCATGAAGTCTTGACACCTAAAATGACGGTTCTCTTGGGGCTATCGACGAAGTCGCTTGGACTCTCTGCAGCTCCTCTTGTCTCCACCAGTCCAAAAAACTCGTCCGTCTTCGCATCTTGTCTTATTTGTGCACATTCCATCCTCGCCTCCAGGGTCTCTCCCATATCTACTTCCAACCATCTTGACCCCACATTTACGCCGCGGGCATCAGGAACGGCCACTGTTCTCTCAATCGCAGCTCCGAGTCCCGCCGCTCGGGCTAAGTATCCACCTGCTGAATCCTCTCGGAAGGTATACTGTACCTGTTCTGAGCCAATGCGCCCGAACACAAAATCTATGACTAATTCAGCAGCGTAATCTTTGAATTTTTGGCTAGAGCAGGGACTGGAACGCGGGACGACGTTTTGCAGACTGGAGGGACGCGTACGCACGAAGACGCAGCGGGAAAAGTGAGCACTAGAGGTCAAAGGTGAGTTCATCTCTGGCTAAGATTTCAGATAATACTAGACGATAGGGAGAGAGCGAAGATATGGGGGAATGTGTGGTCAATGCGATCCTGTGCGTGCGTATCGCCGTAGTGGATAGGCCGCAGATGAGTTCATATGCGAATATCATCAGGTAGCGCGTAGATGCTTGTCCTTTTTGCTGTTGTTGTGCATGCTCGAGACGTACGCTGATGTACTGACGCCATGTGATACAGTGCTTCAGCAGTATACTTTCGATCCTAGCATCCGCTATCGTCTTCACCTGGTCATACTGGACTTCTTCTCTCCCATCCTCTCTCAACCGCAACTCCTCCCGCTCCAGCTCAACTCATCAACGAAGTCCCGCTGGACCTATTCGGCTTACTGTAAATGTGCCCGTACGCAAACTCCATGACCATTCGAGCAGAAGGAACCCTGGTCCTTGGCTAGAGGGGGGATCGGGATTCGGGCGACGTTTGGAGTCGGGATGGGTGCGCAGGCACGGAGACGTAACGGCCGGAGTGAGTACGATGTTCGTCTTTAGTTAAGATGATACGAGCGGTTAGGGAGAGGACGAAGGTTTGGCGCAATGTGTGGTCGATGCGACTTTGTGCGTGCGTATCGTCGTGGTGGATAGGCCGCGGATGGAATTCATATGCGGATATCGTTAGGGGGCGAGTAGGAGCCTATCAATTTTCTTGTTGTTCTGCATGCTCGAGACGTACGCTGATGTAGTATTCTCTTCTGTTGCAGTACAGTGCTCGAAGTTGACCCTCCAGCTCCCCGACCGTTTTCACGCCCAAGCCACAGTGCACGCGCTCTGCCTCAACGGCAGGGCTACTTTCCAGCATGGACGAGTATCGAACAGCAGCACATGTTGTATCGTCAAATATTCCGAACGAAGACCTATGTTACCACAGTGGAGCCGGACCTGGCCGTCTTCGTTCCCCCCGAGCTAAAGCGTACGATTACCGGAAGTTGTGAAGCATCCGAGCAATCGTTGTGTGGCAGTGGCACGACTCCTGATTTATTTTCGGAAACCGCGGGATCTTTTAATACGTCGTATGCATTTGAGCACGCCTCTGAGGATCACTGTTGTCACTGGTGAACTACTGCATGTCGTTCCTTCATCGTTCATGGTCAAACCTCTCTGCAAGTCTCTCGTCTTAGTCAAGTGTTTTATGCGACTCGGACACAGCTCTCTCACGCCCTAGCTCTGGTGCATTTTCGACAATGTGCCAACCTGCATATTTGAGATGAATGTACCAGAGCGCCCTCGATTCACGTTGCTGTGCGTTGTCTTGGTCGACCGCCACTAGCACGTTGGACAAAGCATTCGTCCCTGGACATGATGGACCGTAATGCCGAGCATGGAGCCCATCCCCATACGTGACCGTACAATTATGCCGGATCCAAATGTCCGCGTCTGTTGTCTCCCGTGCTTTGAAGTATTCAGCTGGGCATCTACGGTAAGTATGTGCGCGTTTGTACTCCGTGGGGTGCTCATGATTGCGAGTACTTTCGGCGTCTCTCGGGACAGGTCAGGATGGTCTGATTTATAAGAATGCCACGCCGAATTCGTACATAATAAACGACTTCAAGTGCGTTCAGATGCCTAACGAGTCGAGGGCGAAGTTACCAATGCTTTCCATCGCCGTACTTACCTCAAATACGGCATCTCTCCTGGCACTTCTGTTCCAATCCCATCGGATCTCGTACGCTCAAGTGAACTTCACCAACTACAGGCGTCTCTTTTCCCACTGAATAATCGTTTCATGTTGGCCAGCCACGGCTTGGCCTGGTCATCAGTAACGGCCAAGTCATCTTCAATGACCGTCTTTCCGTTGGAGGTTGAAGTACTTCTGTGTCCATCAATGTCTCGTGAGGACATCCAAGCCATTCCCAGAGCTCTCTTGACATCTGTGAGCGGACAGGAAATTTTCGCTAAGAAAGCATCTGTGCGTAATTCTTATTTTGACGGTGTGGATAGCCCGTTTTTCCGGCGCAGAGGGTATATAAAGTCCTGTACTCTGTGCGAGGAGGTGTCATCTCATCGTCTACCAACTGTTAAGATAATTCATACCTGAAAGTTCAAACAACTCCACTATGCAGTTCTCCTACCTCGTCTCCGCTTTTGCATCCATCGTCATACTCGCCGCTACGGCGAAAGCTCAGGACATACCGTCCGATCCATGTAAGCCATCATTGTATTATTCTCGAAGTACTGACAGCTTATCCGTGACATGAATGATTCGGCAGTCGTCGCCTGTATAGATCTCAAAGAAGGCGACGCATGCATGTACAATTTGTGTCCTCCGAACGAGCAAGTAACCTGTCAGGCGATTGAAGATGGATGTATGTCGCATACCATGTCCCGTCATATCCTGTTCGTCGACTGATATTTCTGGATACACTCAGTCTGCAAGTACAATGACATCGGTATCTTGTACTGTGACCCTGCGATCGATGTTTAAAGCTCGAAGTTGGGCCTGAATTTGGGATGCGTCGACGAGGGCGTGAATGGTGTTGTGTCCTCGTTCTGCACTGAAATGGTTCTGTTACGTCGGGTCGGATGCGGGGGTGCGGATTGAGGCTGATGATTTTATCATAATTCTCAGGTTGCCAGAGCAGAGATGTATTCAACTGCATCCCACGGACTTGTATCATGCTCTTCTCTATCGTCGTGATAATTTCATAGTCTCGTCAATCGTCTGCCTAATATAAGCGATTTGATTCCTATGTTAGCTAAGGCTGCTGTTCCTGCCCATTGATAATGTCTGCTGCCGATCCTCTTCGTGCGTTCTCATCCAGAGTCGGTGCGCTGTGAACATGGACGCCGATTATCATCGTTCACGCTCCTGCTCTCGATACCTACTCCCCCGCTCTGGTTGTTCTTCGTTTCATCTCCAAGCCTCGTCATTGTCGCCTTTTTGACTCGTGTCTTGCCACTGAATAACGACACCAGGACCAAGGCTTGGTTCTCGAAGACCGCGTACTGAAACGTCACGCAGGTTTTACATCGTGCTCTCACCTCTCTGCAAACCCTCTCGGATTTCATGTTTTATTCGCGCGATGATAAACCTCCAGCTATATTCATGGTTTCATGCGTTCTAGATCGGAATGTATCGAAATCATAAACATACTATTGCTGAATCTACCTCGAATGTGCCATTCCGAGAGGGACTGTGGCCCTGGCCCTCTAGTACTCTTAACTGTAACTGTCTACACCATCATGCAGATTATGCACCACATTGTATACTGGATTCGACATTCTTTTATCTGAGAGCGGTCCGTCCCAATAACTGCGCTATGAGAGCAATTAAACGGAGCCTGTCCACTGTCCAGTTCACTTCGGTGCGGACTCATTAGCATACTCTTCCACACTTTTGAAAGTGATGTCGTACGGCGGGTCATCTACCCTCCAACTGCCTCCCTGCGCATCAAACAAAACCAGCAGATCATACGACGTCTTTTCCGTGGCTTCCTTGATCGATATGTCGACCTGCGCGACGAACGAACTCAATATCTACCGGACACCAATCAGCTAAATCTCGAGCAACGAAGAACGCCGGAGAGAAAGGGTGACTGACCTTGGCACCAGACACCTCCTGAGGATTGTCCGCGATGATAATCAAATAGTTGAGCAAATACACCATCCGGATGGTCAAATTATCAATCAGTAGTAGCCGCTGGGGTACAAGGGTTACTGGGAATCACTTGAATTTACTGGGCTCCGCTACTCCCGCCAGTCTGTTCGGCCTACGAAAGAAGAGGTGATATTGTGAGTACCAGCGAAATTAAATGCGAGACAGAATAAGACACGGCAATTAGACCTACATCAGCATCAGCGGTGAATGCCGTGGAAGTCGCGGTCCAATCTTCGGTACCACTCGTCTCAAGCTGCTCCTCAAATACGTCAAGGTTGTCCCATTGTTCAGGCTCCACCGGAGCCCCTATGTTGCCCAAAAATCGATTCTGCGTAAAATTCAGCTCGGGAAGGGATGGTGCAAAATCTGTGGGTTCAGCGCGACCATTGATGTTTCGGAGGTTCAGAAACATGACGTTCACTGCGATGGCCTGGAGCCTGTATACCATCCAGTCAGTGCTCGTTATGTCTCCATGAAGTGTAGCGACGAGGAAGCATGTTATCAGCAATCGATAGGACGTACATGGAAAAATAAGGAGAAATAATGTTGTCGAGGGCCCATGAGATTCTCCCGGCGTATCCGTAATCTGCTCCGCCGGCGAAGAGGATCTATGTGAAGGTTTCAATTACGTCTAATGAGTACAATATCGGCACAAATAAGATGGCCAAGGTGGACTCAAAAAGTCGGGAATCGCTTGACTAGCGGTTGCACCGATAAGAGCACTGGCATGACTCTTGTAGAAAACTGATTCGGGGGTAAGTAAGCTGCGTACATGCAACACATTACTCCTGACCAGCACAGAAATATGGCCTCGATATAAACAGTGTTACATTTTCAACAATGTGTGAAGTACGAGAGGTAGATGGGAACAAGTCTGCAGCTCAGCATGGGCCAACCAGCTAGTAATACCACCATCAGTACGCTAGGTCGGTGAGAAAATGACGAAAACATACTTGTTCGATGCCATCGGCTTCACATTGGCATACCCCCCCCCCCCGACGCATCCCTCACGGCCTTCCTAACCTCCGGCCAATTCTCC